CATCTACTACTATTACTCCACACATCGACCGACTCCTGCCTGCATCTAGAGTATTAAGTTCATAAGAACAGAGTAACACCTTAAGCAAGATGACATGATGTAGAGGGATAAATTCATGCAATATGATATAAACACCATCTTTTTATCCTCGATGGCAACAATACAATACATGTCTTGCAACTCCTTTCTGTCACTGGGTAAGAACACCGCAAGATTGAACCCAAAGCTAAGCACTTCTCCCATGGAAAGAAAGATCAATCTAGTAGGCCAAACCAAACCGATAATTCGAAGAGACTTGCAAAGATAACTCAATCACATAAAAGAATTCAGAGAAGATTCAATTATTATCCATAGATAAACTTGATCATAAACCCACAATTCATCGGATCTCGACAAACACACCGCAAAAAGAGATTACATCGAATAGATCTCCACAAGAGAGGGGGAGAACATTGTATTGAGATCCAAAAAGAGAGAAGAAGCCATCTAGCTAATAACTATGGACCCGTAGGTCTGTGGTAAACTACTCACAACTCATCGGAGGGGCAAGGATGTTGATGTAGAGGCCCTCCATGGTCGATTTTCCCTCCGGCAGAACACCGGCGAAGGCTCCAAGATGGGATCTCGCGGACACGGAAGGTTACGGCGGTGGAAATTGTGTTTCGGGTGCTCCCTGGATGTTTTCAGGGTACGTAGGTATATATAGGAGGAAGAAGTACGTCGGTGGCCGCCTGAGGGGCCCACGAGACAGGGGGCGCCCTACAGGGAGGGGCCTCCTATGTCGTGGTCGCCTCGGCTGCTTCTTGGCTTGCACTCCAAGTCCTCTGGATCACGTTCGTTCCAAAAATCACGCCCCTGAAGGTTTCATTCCGTTTGGACTCCGTTTGATATTCCTTTTCTTCGAAACACCGAAATAGGCAAAAAAAACAGCAATACAGGCTGGGCCTTCGGTTAGTAGGTTAGTCCCAAAAATGATATAAATGTGTAAAATAAAGCCCATAGACAACCAAAAGAGGTAATATAATAGCATGGAACAATAAAAAATTATAGATATGTTGGAGACGTATCAGGTTCCTCTCGGTATATTGAGGTGGCAAAATAAAGCCCAGGAGTTCGACAGCTACTTCAAGTGCAAGAAGGATTGCACCGGCACACTTGGATTCACCTCAATCCAGAAGTGCACGACAGCTATGAGGATGCTTGCATAAGGAGCACCCGGTGATTCACTCGACGACTATGGGCGCATGGCCGAGTCCACGACCATTGAGTGTTTCTACAAGTTCTATAGGGCAGTGGTGGCAGTGTTTGGACCGCAATACTTGCGTTCACCCAATGCTGAAGACATTGCTCGGATCCTAGCACAGAATGCAGTAAGAGGATTTCCTGGGATGCTTGGAAGCATCGACTGCATGCATTGGAAATGGAAGAACTGTCCATTTGATTGACAGGGGTTGTACAAAGGCGCCAAAAGCGGTTGCAGTGTGGTACTTGAGGTAGTGGCCACATAGGACCTTTGTATTTGGCACTCTTTCCTTAGGATGCCAGGAACTCACAATGACATCAACGTCCTGCAGTGCTTCCCTGTCTTTGCCAAGCTTGTTGAAGGTCATTCTCCTCCGGTGAACTTCGAGGTCAATGGGCGGCACTACAATAAGGGGTACTACCTAGCTGATGGCATCTATCCGAGATGGTCGACATTTGTGAAGACTATCTCAAACACTGTGCCAGGAGGCAAGAAATCCCAATTTGCGAAGGCTCGGGAGTCTTGCAGGAAGGACGTCGAGCGAGCATTTGGTGTGCTCCAATCTTGATTTGCTGTTGTCCGGTACCCTGCTCATACCTGGTTGAAAGATCAAATGTGGAAGATCATGACTTGATGTGTCATCTTGCACAATATGATCATTGAGAGCGAGCAGGAAGAGCCAGTGTTTGACACGGAACCATACTATAGGCAGGGTCCTCTTGCCCAAGTTGATCACCAGCTACCAGCAACCTGGACTGCCTACCCCAGTATGCGTCAGAAGATCCGAGACCCACAGGTGCATCAACAACTGCAGCAAGATCTGGTGGAGCACCTATGGAGGATCAAGGGCGACGCCTAGCTCGACGTGTGATGAAATATGAGTTTTTATTTGTTGAACTATATAATTTGTATTGAACTATTTGTGCCTCCTGGGGGGTCAATGGCTGGAGATGCTCTTAGCTGCAATAATACTAGTAGGCTGCCGAAGCTACGTACCTAGATTGAAACTGTGAGCTGTGAACGATGTAGCTTATCTATTATGCTGATGTATCCTCAGATAATCCATCTCCCGACATTATTGTGATCCTAGTCCTGTAAATTCTAGCAAGTGGGACCACAAAGATTAGTCGTCGGTTCCGCATCTTCATTTTCCAATTGTTTAACACGGACGGCATTTTTTTTCGAAAAGGAGGAATACCCCCGGCCTCTGCATCTGGACGATGCATACGGCCACTTTATTGATTATAACATAAGACCTTATAAAGTCGTACAACAGTAAGACCAAAGCCACCATCTTCGCAACCTCTGTCGCTACTCCTATCTAACTGATGAAGGGGCGCTGATGGTCTGGGCCTAATACCAAACAGACCTCGCAGCCAAACCTAACATCTGAGACCTGAGGTCCCAACCAGGACTCCTTCCGGGTAAGGTTACCCACCAGTCCGGCGTGCTCTTCAACCAGGCCCCCTGCCGGGTATGAGGCCGCCGGAGCCACGTACCATCAATCCATCTTCAGAGTTGTACTGTTGCATGAACCGTGCTAGGCCTCTCTGCCATCGACGCCCCCACGACGCCAAACAGCGCCGCCATCCTGCGCTCGTCCATCATCACACGCCAACCGGCGGGACCCCCGCTGCTCCATGCCGCTGAGACCCGCTGATGTCGACGTGCCAGATGCCACGCCGCTCCTCCTCTTGTCCCCTCCAGTCAACACTTACTCCAAAACGATGCCCCCAGGAGGGAGAACGACGTCGAAACGTCGCCATCGTCCGATCCGGTAAATCCAGATCTAGGGTTTCCCCCGGAACCTTTTGATCAGGTTGACGTGACCTGCAACGACGATGCCTCGAGAAGGGAACGACGTCCAAGACGCCGCCATCGTCCGCCATGACCGCAGTCAGACGCGATTTTCACCGGAAGCCACGGCGTCCCGATCTCGCGGTTGGCTGGAACGGAACCCTCCGCCGAACCGGTGACGTTGCCGCCGATCCGATCCCACCACCGTGTGGTGCCCCCGATGGAGATCCTGAAGGCGAGGAGAGGGTCTCGATGTCGCCCACCAGAGGGAGAACGGCGCTGCGAGCGTCGCCAACATCGTGACCGGCGGTGCCGGTCAAGGGTTTCCCCCGACCCAGAGCTCGCAACGCCATGCTCCACCAACCAGCCGAGCAGGATAAGCCCGCAGACTGGCCAGCAGAGGAGGAAAGCGAGCCGCCAACTCCAAGCCCGCCGCCAACTCGCCGCCCAGCACGGCAAAAACGGCGCACCGAGTGCTCCAGCAGTGGCCGCCGCCACCCGCAACGCCCGCAGCCCCCAGGGGGCCAGATCGGCCGCGCCAGATCAAACCCCCGCCGCCTCTGCCGCGGGGCCGCACCGCCTCCTCCCAGCAGCAAAGCTACCAGATCCGCACGTCTCCGCCGCCGGAGGCCCCGCCGGATCCAGATCCCCCACGAGCGGCGGCCCGCGCCGCCGAGACCCCGACCAGGAGAGGGAGGAGAGGTCCCCGCCGCTGCCAGCGCCGCACGGGCTTTGCCCGGCGGACGCCCTCCGGCAGCGGCGAGGAGGAGGGGTGAGCGAGGGCGGAGCCTTGCGCCGGCGGCGGAGGGGAATCTCCCATGACGCGCTCGCGGGGCGCGTCGCGGGAGCCGCGTGCGTTGGGTGTTGAGTTACCTAACACGGACGGCATGGTGCGTCTCAAATTCTCAGTGCTTGTTGCTTTCTTGGCCCCCGCATTCTTCTCTATGTTGAGCATGCATCTCTCCCATGTTGGAAATGGCCAACTAAAATCCCTTTGTCTCCATAGACCATACTCCTTTCTCTTGCTCGCCCTCTTCTCCATACTACACACTCGATCTTCTTCCACCTTCGGAAGGCCCCTATCCAGGTTAGTCTGAGGACTTGAGGTCCATGCTTTGTATGGAGTAGCTAGCAATTAAGGAAAGCTTGGTCGATATATATATATGTTCAGAAAAGCCGCTATAGCTGCTTTCGTTTTCATGGCTTTTCTACAATAATTTGTTCTTGATCTTGCTGTGTTTGTTGATGTCACGAAACTAATTACTCTTTGAAGGTTAACAGTATGGATTTCATATGTTCTTAATTAGCTGGCTGTTTCTCTAGCGACGAAACAAATGAAGAGAACTTTAGTGAGCTAGCTAGGTGTGCTACGCACCTCAGCAAGCAGGTCAATAAGAGATTGCCAATCCCAGCATAACAATCCTGCGTGGTCTGAGTTAGTGTTTCTAAAAAGAACAAGGTACACACCAACATGTCTGTTCCTTCTATTGTGAAAGTTATGCATACAACCTTTCAGCTTTTGAAATGATTTATGTGTTATTAAGCTGATGGGACACGGAGGCTCGTCCTAGCCAGCAAGAGGTATAGGATACCATGGAGAGCAATTTACAGGATACAAGTCTACCGCCAAGGGAGTTTCCACTCGAGTTCTTACAGCTTATTACAAATAATTTTTCTGAGGACAGCATAATTGGCGAGGGTGGGTTTGGGGTCGTTTACAAGGTGCGATTATAAATGCCATTTTCTAATTTATTAACCAATCTTCTACTGTGAATTTCATGTACCCAAGTGCCATATGAATAAGAAATGCTTAACAGGGAGTATTGGACAACGGGAAAGAGATTGCTCTGAAGAAGCTCACTCACAAAGGGGTTGATGACAAGGAATTTACAAATGAGTTCAATAACATTATTAGGGCCCGTCATCCTTTGGCTACTGCTATCATCCAGGTAGCTGGATTATGCACAATGGACAATATGTCTTTGCTCATGAGCCAGTAAGAATTCTCTGCTTTGAACATTAATGTCGACTCTGACCTTGCCCTTCAAATGGCAACCACGCTCGGCGCCGAAATTGCGGCTTTCCCCCAAAAATACCTCGGCCTTCCCCTCTCCCCCCATAAACTCCAATCGACAGCTTTTCAGCCAATTATAGACCGCTGCGATATCTACCTAGCCGGATGGCGTGCTTTCCTGTTATCTCGAGGAGGTCGTCTTGTCCTTCTCTCGGCCGTCCTGGATAGTCTGCCAACCTACTTTATGATGTGTTTCTCCCTGCCCGTCAGTGTCCTCGAGGAGATAGACAAGCGTAGGAGAATTTTTTTCTGGTCTAACGATGACTCCTTCTCTGGGGCTAAGTGTCTGGTTGCGTGGGACCGAGTTTGTATGCCAAAGCTTGCGGGTGGTCTTGGGGTTAAAAACTTGCGAGCACAAATTTTTTGCCTTATGTTGAAATTTGCATTCAAATTCTTGCATTCCCCTCTTTTTCCTTGGAAGGATTGGCTCCTCAACCATTCTCCAATGCATATAGGTCGTGGCAACAATGCCTCCTTCCTTGGTCGTGCCATTTCTAGACACCTCAGTTCCCTTCGTGAGATATCATGTGTGACCATTGGGAACGGTTTATCCACCTTCTTCTGGTTAGATCGTTGGGTTCTCCCTGAGCCTCTGTACATTGCTTTCGTAGCCACTATACTGATGGATGGGATTGATCTGGGCTTGCGTAGCCGGCTTACCTTAACTGCTTCCAATGAACTTGCTTCCTTGAGATTACTGTTGCAGGATATCAGTCTGACGGGTGCCCCAGACGATAGGACCCTACTTAATGGCGCCGCTTTCACCACCAAGGGCGCCTACGACGCGATGGCTTCTCAACTGGCCGACCCTACTCTTGCTCGTATCTGGGACTCGCGTGTCCCCAGCAGAGTGAGGGTGTTCGGCTGGCTTTTCTACCTCGACCGACTTAACACACGGGCAAACCTGCTCCGTAAGTCCATCATCGACTCTGCTGCATGCCCCCGATGCGCTGCTGCGTCCGAAGACCGGGAACACCTCTTCCTTCGTTGTCCGGCAACTTGTGCCATTTGGGATGCCATTGGTCTACACCCTTGCTCTACCCCCTTCGCACATCTTTGGGTCTCCCATGGGCACCCGGGTCTCCCTGAGTCAGTATGGCCTCTCATTCTTCTTCTTATCGTTTGGAAAATTTGGGATGCCCGTAATGCTAAAACTTTTAGGGATATAGATGTCTCACCCCATGATGTTATTAGGGGCATCATTGCGGACCTTACTTTGTGGTCTCATCGCCTTAAGAAGGCGGAGGACAAAGTTCACGCCGGCCTGTGGCGGGACTATTTTACCTCTCGTCTTGTCTAAATTTGTAACAAAATGCTTTTGAAATATATTCAGGTGGGGAGTCTTTCCCCCCCGGTGACAGTTTCAAAAAAAAAATATTTGCATGGTGGAAACCTCGAGAGTTACCTTTCTGGTATGAAAAGAAACATTTACCTAATTGACGTCTTTTTGAAAACATTAATTTCAATCTCTCAATTGACGTTTTTTGAAAACATTAATTTCATGCTTATTTCTACAGATGAGGAGCCATGCAGTCCTGATTGGCAGACATGTTATAAAATAGTTAAGGGACTGTGTGAAGGTTTAAATTATCTTCATAACGGGCATATTTACCATCTAGACATCAAGCCCACAAATATATTGCTGGACACCAACATGATGTCGAAAATTGGAGATTTTGGTATATCAAGAATCTTTCCTTCAACACAAACCATTACCACGGCAACAATGATGGGGACAATGTTAGTTGGTAACTTATAAGAAGCTAGTAGTTCTAATATAACTTTGTTGCAAACTAATTGGATGTGACATCAATGCAGGGGATACATACCACCAGAATTTATCAAAAAACAAGAAATCTCACCAAAATATGACGTGTTCAGTTTGGGTGTCATAATAATAAATATAATGGCAGGACGCCAGAGCTATTATGATTGTGGAATTGTTCCTTCTGAAATGATCATTGAGCATGTAAGATAAAATGTTTCTGACTCATGAATACTTCTCTTTCATAAATTTATGTTTTTTTTTTTTATTCTTGCTCAATACATGTATGTAAGATATCAACATTTTGTTTCAACTTTGCAGGTATGTGATAAATGGCAAAGAAGGCTACATTCAACAATGTCGCCACAAACATGGCAAGAAGTAATCGAGACTTGCATCAGAATAGCATTCAGATGTGTGGAAGATGACCGACAGAAAAGACCCCTTATAAGAGAGATTGTTGATGAACTCAACAGGATTGATATTAAAACAATGTCACTTACATACGAGGTATTGAAAATTTTGTGATATTTTTACTCTAGCTATCTAGACCTCTTTTCTGAATAATAGAGCCAACAAAGTGAAACCAATTTTTTCTTTAACATTAGATTTGGTATTCAGATTTTTAGGATGTTTATAAGCTTAGCAACTCCCTCCTAGTTTATAAGGCCCACATGTATTTGAAAATCTAGCATTTTACATGGGCCTTACAAACCTGAAAAGAG